AACCTGAAACCCTAAACCCTATGTACGCCTACAATAAGGATAAGAATGGAAACGACTATATATAGTATATTGGGGTTGTATTGGGATGAATGGACACGACAGGTTGCCATAACCCTACGTGGGTGGTTGTTGATTCTGGTCCCTTGTTGGATCCAAATACGGCACCTAATATTTAGGGTACCTCAAATGGGACCATGATTTTGACAACCACCTATGTACGCCTACAATAGCCTGTTGCCAGGTTGGAGAGTGGGTTGGATCGCTGTGCACGATGCGGACGGGGCGCTTGCAGCGGCGGGAGTTCCGGAGACGCTTTTGAAGCTGTGCCAGGCACCATTGGGATGAAGGTTTATAGGGTTGAGGGTCTCAACTCCTCAAAGGGGGTCACATAGGGGGTTGTATAGGGGAGTAATATAGGGGTTATCAAGGGGGATACAGGGAGTTATAGGACCCCTAGCCTAAATCGGGGCTATATACGCATCATATGGGGGCTATATAGGATTATACGGGGACGCTATAGAGGTTATAAGGAAGGTCTTTAGGTGTTTGTGGATTGAAGCTTTCCCAGGCGTGTCTGGATTGGGTTTGATGTTGGAAACATTACAGGGATAAAGGGTCGCTTGCAGGCAGTCATGTTAGTGGCAGAGTCACAAAGGTTCCTTGGGCGAGCTTTACGAACTTGAAGCACAGAGTATCAGACCTGTGGTGGAAGCAGTTAAGACTATCCGCAAACATTCCCAGTCACGGGTGAGCTGGCCACATTCTCGCCACTGGGTAGTCCCTCCCGCAAGGAACCCACCGCCTGGAAGGGACTCATATAAGACAAGCTTTCAGTGCGCTTTCATGAGTATGTCTAGGGTTCTTTGAAAAATCGGTGGACGCATACATGTGCATTCCACCGGGACAACCCTTAGCAGAGTTCTTACCTCACACAAGACAAGATTTCAGGGCTTTATCTGAAGTCCTGTGGAATGTTGCTGGCCGGATTGGTATGTTGTACGGTTTTAGTTTCCAGTATGATGCTAAGCGTCAGCCTGGCGAACTGTCAGGGGCCAGGTAAGAAAGCTGGGTTTAGGGGCCGGAATAGTGACCGATATGGTTCTTAGCTTCATTTGAGGCACTGTATGCCATCCCAATAAAAGCTATACTTCAATATATGCTTCTGTATTACAGGTGACCCCAGGCTTCGTGCAAAGGTTGCAGAGGTGCTAGCCGCGGACTGTCTACTTGCTGCTGGTGGACAGAGAATCGAAGAATGGGGTGTAATAGTGGTATAATAGGAATATAATAGGACCTTAGTATAATCCTTATTATCCCTTATAACCACTATTGCAGGGTGGGGGGTCCTGATAAGGGATCTTTTTTTAATTTCCATGATTATTTTGTAGAGCACCATAATTGTAATCAAAGGGCTTAAACGACAACCCAGGTAGTCCCTAAACGATCCTTTGGAATGTGTAATCAATCCATCTCACCCGTTGCTTCGTTCCCGCCAGGCACCAGAAAGCAATTGCTGGTCTTGAGCCGGTGTTGTATACACTGATTTGAGGGTCCTTGCTGCGCGGACAGTACTACAGACTTTCTATACAGAGGTTTCTCAACATTAAGGCCGTGAGGCAATCTGCACATATATGCAGCTTGTGTGGGGGTTCGACGGTGCTTTATTTGAGAGACTATGCGGGATTTATTTTGATAAACTCCTGCCCATCCAAGTGAGCCCTGAAGACTACCTGGATACCTGGGTAGTTCCAGATCATGGAGGTTCCTGGCCCAAAATGGAGCTTCTCAAAATGGGTGGTTGTCAAAATTATGGTCCCTTTTTGGGTACCCTAAATATTAGGTATAATAGGGATCCCAAAAGGGACCACAATTTTGACAACCACCCCAATGTTGGTCTAGAATCTTTGAGGCGAGGCCGCTAATGTCTTTTCATCCTTTGGACTCCAAAGGCGCCCTTCACTTAGGATTTGGGGTGTATAGTAGCAGGAAAGGGTTTAGGGTTTTGGGATTATATTAGGGTTATATTGGGATAATGGAAAAGAAAATGGAAACTACTATTAAGGGTTCAGGGTTTGGGGTTATAGTCCCCCTTAAGTAGTTGGAATATGGCTCTGGGTATGTTATGATAAGATACCCATATACCCCATAATCTATCTACGTAAGGGGGGACTATAAACTCTAAACCCTAAACCCTAAATAGTAGTTTCCATTTTCTTTTCCATTATCCCAATATAACCCCAATATGAGCCCTAAATACCCCCTATATTCTACTTAAGGGAACCCTAAACCCTAAACCCTAAGGGGGTTCTGAAAGAACTGCAGCCACCTCTCGGCTTGACTTTGACTTCTTGGGCCATGCGAAGGCCAAACCATGAATCATCCAAGCATTTGGCTGGTTGACTTTGGCAAAGGTCTAGGGACTCGACGCCTTAGTCGGTGTCCAACACAGATTACAAGTTTCACATGCATGAGATCTGTAGAAGGCAATCCACCAGTGTGCAAGACTTGTGTCTCTTGCGTTCAAGGTCCCTCCTCACTTCAGTTAATGTCCACTTTGGGAAGTACCAGACGCCAAGCGGTACTTGAGTTTGTCACAGCGTTTTCTTATTTACTTAAGTCTGTGCATTTGATGCCACTATTACTGTCACGCGCCACCCGCCACCGCCACCACACCATCAGCACCGTCACCGCCGGCACCGCCGGAAGGCCTCGGTACCACCTTCCCTGACCAAAACCATTTTGCGGAAATGTGCCTTTGCACAGGTATCATTGGGTCCAGCAGCGCCGATTCAGGCCCCGTGATTCTGAGAATGCTGGTCAGAAGAAGGAAGGAATCGGCGAAAGGCTTGACTATCAGCAATCTGCTGGCTCAGGGGGCTGCTGAGTAGATGTTCACTTACTGGCTCTCAGCAGGGAATGAGGGAACATCTTATATAGGGATTATATTCCCTCATTCCCTACTAAGAACCACTAAGAGCGGTGTTAGGGTCGCGGGAGAACCGTGTAGCGAAAATGCATGATCTCGATGTGTTTCCAGGGGCGACAAGATGTGGTGCCCCAGGAACTTTGCTGACATCGCACTAGGGATGCTCATTCTGACGTGCTAGTTCCTATGAACAGGAGGACCCCAATACAGACGCTGAAGCACTAGAATCCTCATTATGAGGAAGGAGACCTCTAATTTCTGTAAGCCCGCAATGCGACAGAATTACTGAATGGTTTGGAAGCTCCTGGGCTCCGTGTTGTCAGGATTTGGGGCATGTTTCTGGTCTATCACGAAATGCGCGGCAGAAGTGGGAGTGGATGGGAAGGGACCCTGTGGCCTCAACTGGTTGCAGCCAGGCAGTACGGTTAGTAGGGCAAATTGTGTAGGGTAAGTTTTCTGCACTTGTTATTGCACTCGGCTCTTACCAGGATATACTCTGTTGCTACGTTTCCCAAACGCAAGGCCCCACACTGTCGGCACTCCTTTGAAAATTGGTGGTTGGTTTTCAACATTTGGAGCATAAACGGTTGAACGGATCTCTAAACGACCTGGCTGTGTGTAAGGTTTTGGGCTCAATTCCAGGCCCTAAACCCTGGAATGCCTAAACCCTGAACACATCACGGACGCCATAACCAAAAGGATCTGCATTCAAGACACCAACGCTCAACTTGTCCTCCATAGCCTGGCCTTCAACACTCGACCCACATACTGCCAAAGGAAAAAGGAAAAGTACCCGCAGGAATAGTTGCTCTTCACAGGATGGTATTATGGGATATGTATTGATGTGTGTAGAGTGTGAGGCTGGTTCATGCTTGAGGAAAGGTTCATGCAGTTGTTTGTTTTTTTGTTTGTTGCACATGCTCAGGATTTCTGTTGATGTCCGGATCGCTGGCTACAGCTCTCAGGGTATCATGGGGCAGAACCTTTGAGTGGAACTTCGGTAGGTCATGCAATGCCTGCAAAAGTCGAAGAAGAAGCGGTGCTTGGGCTTTGCATGCCTTCTTTGGCTGCTTCTTGGGCCAGCCTTATTGCAACTTCATCGCAAAATACGACCATCATTCTCTCGGGGCCCACAACAGGGCACCTCTAGTCCTTGGAAACCACATTATCGAAATTAGACGTCTTTCTACCACGATATCCTGATCCCAAATTCTCAACCGAAGAAAGACCCTACAAAACCTCTTTACCTGCATGTCCCTAACCGTAACCCTTGTAAGCCTTATAAAGCCCAGACCTTAAGCCCTATAAACCCTGAAGCCTAAACCTTAGTTTTGGGAGTTCTGCCAGGGCGCGGTGCCCGAGATCTTCTCGGCGGCCCCCAGCGGCTGCGAATGGCACACTGACATCCTGACAGCGCTGGAGGCATTGTGGATTTAGATTTTGAGAGCGTGCTCAATACACGTACTTAAGATATGGGTGCGGCGTTTCGCCTTTGAATTGCAAATCCTTTTCAAAAGGCTCTGGAATGGCTCCTGGGAGAGGCCATGGAATGGCAGGCCAACTATTCGCTTAAACTTCGACAAAGGGGGGGCCCCTTGGTAGGCGTAATGTCGAGCTCATGTGAAGCTAATGGTTCCATGCAGCTATCATTTACAGACTTTACAGACTTACTCAAAGGGTCCAAGTCCCCAATAATCATATACTTACTCAAAATCTGCACTATAGCTACTATTACCCCAAACCCAGGTACCTAATTATTGGGTACATGGGTTAGAGCCCCGCTGTAATAAAGGTTTAGCGGTTTGGGGTTCAGTTCCCTGTTACACTTGCCCCGGCCTGAGCCACAAAAGTTCCGTGCCTCAAGGGGGTTGAGGGTTTGAATTGGCTTCACGGCTTGAATGCTTTAAGGCTTAGGTTTAGAGCGAGGGCAGAGGCCTCCAATCATTTGTGGGGCTACACTGGGGGCGTAGGAGGAGACAGGGTTTGCACAGGTATATTGCATCCTCAGATTTCATAGGGTTTGTTAGGGCATTGACTTTAACTGTCATTTTTGCATGTGATACTGACGTGATACAAGGATTATAGAGGTCGCCCAGGGGCTACGAATGGCGGAATAGGATGTTTCGCAGCGATGGAGTGTCCATGGGGTCCAGCACCTCTTGGGTCTCGAATTTGGCGGTGTCTTTGACGTGTGGATCATCTTTTACGTTCCGCAGAGACGGATCAGATGCGCGCTAGTCTCCTTCAGCCCCTATGAGGAAGGTCAGAGGTTGTCGAGTTAATTGGTAAAATGTGGTTTGGCCTAGATCCCACCCCCACGCTACATAACTCCCCTCATACCCATATATGTTGAATATACCCTGATTGAATCGCAAGGGAAACTGTTTTATTTACGGGCCGGGCTACATGGGATTCCATGCTTGTTTGGCGGGAGGATTGTGCGAACAAGCTAGGAGTCTTCTCCTCTCCCCTTAGTGTTTAAAGTTTTATTTATGTTCTAGTGCAACCCCGAGGAGCTAGGTTTAAACAATTGTTTATAGGTCTGCGGTTACACTTACTGCAGTTTTGCAGAAGCGCGGATTCTGTTTTGGGTTTCGTACAGTGAGCGCAGGTTCGTATAGTTCCCAAGGGAGGCAACTTCAAAGTTGAGGCACTCGCACTTGAAAACTCCTTGCAGGCGCAAACAATCCCCTTAACAATCCCATTATTCCATTACAATCCCTCAGGACGGAAGAAGGGCCACCATACGTCCTTAGACAGTCCCATCTGTAAGTTTCTCAAAATGATCCATAACAGGACCCTCAAAGAGTCTTTTCTGGTGCCACTTCAGTCTCCCTGTATTCTGCAAATAACCTTTGGATTTCAAAAGTGATTCAAATTTGCTAAGCCCTAAATCCAACATATCCCTGCCACCTCTTGAAGGGACCTCACGGTACCCCGATGTCAAGGAAGTGCATATGAGCAATTGTCTAAACTCCTAGTATCCCCTTAAGAATCCCTATGATGCTCCCGTATGTAGTCCCCTATATAACCCCTTTTAAGGATTTTTAGAGCCCAAAACCCCAAATCCTAAAGCCCCAAACCCTAAACCCTATATACTCCCCAATATAACACACCCCTTAACGAGTTTAGACTATAGCTCATATCCCTGAAGAGGCCTCAGCGCAATGCTGTATGCGGCGTTGCCGCTCCATTCCGGGCTTAGAGGCTTTAGGGGTTTAGGGTTGAGGGGTTAGGGGTTCAGAGTTTAGGGTTTAGGGGAGGCTTTGCTACCGAGGGCACATTCCCGGACTCCTAGGTATCCCAGTAGTACACTTGGGTTTGCCAAAGTTAGGGATACCTTTTTGGGGGCCCCCATAATATGGACTATAGTATATTGGGGTCTATATTGGGGTCCCCTTATTTAGGGAAACTACCACTTTTCCCCTTTTTGTTTTCGGGTCTCCTTATTAAAGCTGAATAGTAGGAAAAAGGATACCCTTATTATTGGGGGGTTGCTGGGGAACCTAGACTCTACGTTCCCCCAAACTAACATGGAACCGCATGTCGGGACTACATTGCTGTGTGCACATATGTGTATAGATAGATATGCACATACGTACATATGTGCGCATACTATCCTCCGCTTAGAGCACCTGTTTGAAGAGGCTGCAGTCTGTGTCGTCGTTTTCTTTTCAGGGGTTCCGTATTACCTTGGTCGAGGGTGAAAGGCGTTTGGGTTGGGAGCTTCATGTGGAGGAAAGCTACGTACGTGATGTGCTACGCGGCGACTGTTCCTTAATCCATACACAGAGGTGCATTTCCTACAGCCCAAGTGCATGCCGTTTAGGTAGGGCAAAGCTTCCTGGGTTCCGTAGTTGATCGGAACAGGGGTCACTCTCGAAACACAGATCGGTAGTCGGTAGTTCCCAAAATTAGGGTCCCATTTTGGCACCCCCAAATAATTAGGTGCCGTCATATAATCTGTAACCAGAAGGGCCCATGATTTTGAGAACAACCCATGTGGTTGAAACCATACCCCGCTGCCCTAAACCCTAAAACCCTATACATAATCCCAAACCCTTAACCCAAAAGAACAACCCAGAAGTTTTTTTGTAGAGGTCCGATGTCTCCAGCTCTCCAAAGCAAGCTTTAGACTTTAGTGGGGTGTTTCGCTTTTGGGGGTCCCTATAGTAAGGATTATAGTATTTTGGGGTCTATGTTGGGGTCCCCCTATTTAGGGAAACTGCCTGGTATAATAATGTGAGCCTGCCTTGGAGCAATATGGGCAGAGCATATAAGCTTTCCCAAGCTATGGTTTCGTCATGTTCAGTGGTGATGATATTTCAGAACCATGGCCCCAGCGTCTGAGTTCCTTAAAGTAGCCCTAGGTAGCGCTTCAACCAAGCGTCTCTCCCCGACGCCTGAACCCTGAACCTAGACCCCTAAACTTCTAGGGTTTAGTGTCTATGGCACCCTAAGCCCCAAACTGTTCTCTACGCTCAAACCATCCCTCCCCCTTGATTGAATTCACAGGGCTCAAAAGGTAAGGTCAAAAGGAAGGTTAGGTATAGGAAATTAGCCCCCGCATGGTGGAGTTGAGGCTACCTAAACCCTAAAACCTAAACCCTGAAACCTAAAACCTAAACCCTAAACTCTAAAACCTAAACCCTAAAAAAACCCGGAAACCGAAACTAAAACCTGAACCCTAAAACCTAAACCCTAAACCTAAACCCAATGGGGGTATCCTTGAGCCCGCATGAAGAAAGTGTGGAGGTCGCCTCAGAGGCCCAGGGCGCCATGCAAGCTGCCAGCAGTTTAGGGCGGTGGGTTTAGGGTTTAGTAGAGACCTACTCAGAGTTCAGGGTTCAGAGAAGGACTTTCTACGGGCTGTTAGGGGTTATATAAAGGGTATATAGGGGTTTGGGGGGTTCAGGGTTCTAAGGTTTTGGGTTTATAGGGTTTACAGCGTTTTGGGTTTGTGGGGGTTGTAGGGTTTGTAGGGTTTATGGTCTCAAGGTTTTTTGGGGGGGTTCTGGGTTGAAGGATTTCTGGAGGAGGTTCCCAAACCTGGGGGCCAATTGGGACCCGACGGATATATGTAGAGTGCCCTCATTATGGAATAGAGAAGCTCGGCTTAAGGACGCGGACTTCTCGGTTTGGAGTTGGGGGTTGAGCGGTGGTTTTTTTATGCGGAAGAGATCATATGCTATCAAGGTTTGGGGTTGTGCACGTGTCGAAGCCTTTCCCAGCAGTTTTTGCGTTCCCGCGGCTTGGCAGTTTGTGTGTGTCGTCGGACTGAGCTTGGGGGGCCCTGGCTCTAGAGAACAACTTGCATGCGATTCCCAAACTAACATGGATCCTCATGGTTGTGAGTACATAGATTGCTGATCATATTTCGAGCGAGGCTGGGGGTGGGCTTCGTGTCTGGGCGGGGGCCCGGGAACTAAACTTGAGGTCCCAGTTTGCCTGCAACCCATACAAAGGCAAAAGGGGCCATGCCTATACTCTGAGATCCTAAACGCTACAGCCTTAAGCCCCCAAGACCTTTTGACCCCTCAACGATACATAACCCTACCATAGCCCCACACCCTATGACGTATCTGCTTTCCAAAAGTGGGGTGTAGACTAGCCTAGAACCCCTACACAGCCCCAATCCCTACACCCCATGAGGTATGTGACTAGAACCTCTGAAGATGTCTTACACTATATATTATATCCCTACCATAAAATCCCAATGCCCAGACTCCATGAGGTATATGATGGTTCGTTTGAAGCCTAACGCCCTGGACCTCGGCACAGATGACGTCCTGCTTGCGAGCAAGCTCCTGGAAGAGGAGACACCTGGCTTAAACCCTAAACCCTACACTCCTGGAACTCACATGGAAACCCAAAAGGGGCCCTATAAAGACTACAGTCCCTGTAAAATGGGGCTATATGGGTTTCCATGTTTGTTTGGGGGAGTGTAAACCCCTTTTTTCTTCTAAGAGTTGTTTCGGCTTTGGGGTCTAGGGGTTGCAGAAAGGATATAGTAGGATCTTTAGGATTTGTACAGAGTTATATAAGTTATGTCAATCTTTATAGGGGTTATATATGGGGATCTCTGGAGACTATATAGGGATATAGATGGATCTAGCAGGCTTATATAGAGGTAAATAGGGATCTAAAGGGCATGTAAACCTTAGGCTTCTGTCTAGAGATGTTTGTTGTGAAGGACATTGTCCCAGCGTGGACTGTCAAGGAACAGGAACTGGGACTATGAAGAGGTTTACTAAACAATAAACCCTCAACCCTAAACCTCAAATCCTAAACCCTAAACGCGTAAGTCGTTCTCGTGCAGGCGGAAAATGGCCGTTGCAAACAAAAAAGCGCTAAAACATCACGAGGGTCTAGGTATCAGCTTTAGGGTTTAGGGCAGAACAGATGCGTGGTAGTCATATATTACCCTCACATAATCCATTATTTAATATGGTAGTTTCCATTTTATTCTCCATTTTCCTCCATAACCCCCAATATAACCCATAATATTACCCCAATGGGTAGATTTGGAGTAGGAGCATCCTTGAGGATGAGTTTCAGGATCTTTGGGAATGGGAAAGGTAATTTTTCAATAGCCTGATTTGCGTCAGAGTTGGGGAGCTGAGCTGAAGTATAGACCCTAAGCCCTAAATCCACCACTTTTCCTTATTCTGGGGGGTTGGCCCCATTCAATCATGAGCAAGGGTGAAACTTTACAAGGCTCCCAAAACGGAGCCCTTGGGTTTTCTTAGGGTTTAGGGTTTATAAGGAGGAACCGCAAACGTATCAGGTCCGTCGCTATCCTGCCTGGCCAGTGCTTTGCGGCTCCGGGTTTTTTCCGCCGCCTGGCAGGAATTTGAAGTTTAGGGTTTAGGGTTCGGGGTTTAGGGTTCATGGTCTAGGGTTCAGTTCAGGGTTTAGGGTTCGGGGTTGAGGGTTTAAAGATGTTTAAAGGTTCAGGGTTTAGGGTTTAGGGGTTTACGGTTGAGGGCTTAGGGTCTGGCATGCATGGTGACTATAATGTACATGTACCTCTAGGGCTAATGGAACGGGATTTAAGGATCAATTGCAAGTCTCAACATAGATGTTGGAGTTGAATCTAGGGCGGATGCACCCGAAATAATTCAGGCTTGCCCCTAGATTCTCGAAAAAGTCATCTTTCCCTTCAAGTCCCACACTATTTCGAAACCTCCCGCTTGAAAAAGATGTTACCGTGGTGGGGGATTTGGGGACGAGCTCATTATGAGTTGAGGTGCTTCAACCCCGTGGTAATCACATACCCATGGCAATCGCTTCATGTTTGTCAGTATTTCCTGACCTGAGTGGAGGATGTTGGAGGCTTCAGGGTTGCGGGGGTTGTAGCTTTCGAGCTGGCAACTTGCCTGAGTAGAGGTTATAACCCGTTGAGAACCTTCTGCCTCTTAGAGGTATTGTTTTAAACAGCTAGTGTCTGGTAGCATGCTCAGTGTTGGCTTCCTTCCTGTGTGGTTTGTAGGTGGCGGGCTTTGTGCTCTAGGTCTCAATCATCCTCTTTTCAGCCTGCTCAAACAGGTTACATGTTTGATCAAAAAACACCCTGGACAGACGGAAGACCTCCATGGTAACCCAGTGGAAGACGAAAGTCAGAGGTCACCATTACATAGCTCCCATTTTTGTGGTATACCGCTTGGCCGTCACGTCTTGGAAGCTGCCATTCCAGCTAAAGTAGCCTTGCCAAAGGAACAAGATCATAGGCACAAGTCTTCCGATTGTTCGTCCACGCTGGACATTCTTCAAGTACTTGTTTTGCAGCATACACTTTCCTCCTTGGGACTTAGCTTGGACCTTAGACCCTTAATCCTTTGGGATTCCCTCATACTCCTACTATAGGTGCCTAAGCGTTAACCTGTAGTGGGGGTCCTAAGTCACGTAGTTTCCTTTTTCAAGACGAACGGTTTTTTTACCTGCCAGGGCCTAGGGCAGTCGGGGTGAAGAAGGCCTAGGCCTCTTAGGGTTTAGGTTAGGGTTTAGGGAAACTGGTTACCACGAATCACTAGTGTTGGAGTATCTCTGCCGACCATACATGTCACAAAGGGTGCCCCAATTCGGGTAGAACTGGTCAGAAGGCTCAAAATACAGAAGCCTACTCCCCAAACTCTGAATATGAAATCCCATCAAACAACTGTACAATCCCAGGTTACATGTCATATGCAAGTTGTTGTTACCATTTAATGTTCCATTATTGGGTAACTCGCCCTGGACCCTGCGCATTCCCTATTCTTATATAAGCCCTAAACCGTAAACCCTAAACCCTAAACCCTATCTACTTCGTTTAAGCTTCTATGAACCAATTCATAGGGATCCCTGAGCTCTAGACTCTCAACCTTAATCCCTAAAACGGGGTTGGTGTTGAGAAGCGGAACTTAGAGTTTTCCAAGAATATAGGTATATTGTAAATAATAGGGTTTCCTTATCAAAATAAGTTCGTTTGAAGTTACTTACCAGCAACCCAGACCCTCTAAACCCTAAACCCCTAAACCCTAAACCGCAACCCAGTAAACCCCCAAACCCGGGAACTCCGTAACAAAGTGCCCTCATCAGAGGCGTTGTCTTCGCAGCGCCTGAGAAGGTGCTGGAAGAGGTGCGGCATCTGTAAGGTCCCTTGATAGGGGTACTTGGAAATAATCTTTACTTTTTGCTTATTATAATCCTAAGGAACAGCAATTTTTTTGATTTTTGCTGTTGTTCCAAGTTCCCCAATGATAAGGGATATGAATGTTTGAACATAGCCCCTTGAGAAGGATTGCTGTAGAACCTCTAGGAAGGTCAACATATGCCTAGGGTCCTTACCTGCCCCCCTTTTCCAAGAGACCCGGATTTCTGCAATGCTTCGTCATAGCTTAGGATTTGGTGTTCAGAGTTGCCAGTTTAGGGACGGTGTTACAGAGGTTGTATAGGATCTCATGCTCTGGGGGTTCTATGGCGGCTTCACGGATGCATATCTGTGAATATTTGTGCTTTGGATATTCAGGGTTTCCGCACAGTGTCCTTTGGGCAAACCCTAAGCCCTGAAATCTCAAGACCCAAACCCAGAACCCCTGCAAACCACGAATCCGAAACCATTGCGTTCTTTAAATCTATGCTACAAAGCTCCACAGACCCCAGAAGATCTAAACCCCAAAGCCAAAAATCTAAGCCTGAGGCCCGGTGGTTGAGCCCTAAACCCAAAACCCTAAACTCCAAGCCCGAAACCCAAAACCCTAAACCCTAGACCCCAAAGCCCTAAACCCAAAACCCCAAACCCTAAACCCTAAACCCAAAACCCCAAACCCAAAACCCAAAACCCTAAGCCCAAAGCCCTAAACACAAAACCTAATAACACCCAACCGTGTTGAGCCTCTAGGATGGCAAGAGCCTCAACTTATTATGCAGGTGCTTACGGTTTAGGGTTTAGGGTTTAGGTTTAGGGTTTAGGGTTTAGGGTTTAGGGTTTTGGTTACATTTGGGTTTCCCGCGAGATTATGGTTACCTGTGAAGGGGGTCATGGGGGTTATATGGTAGTTTCCCAAAACAACGGGACTCCAATGTAGACCCCGAAATACTATAATCCTTATTATGAGGACCCCCCCAAAAGTATTCATAATTGTGGGAAACCCCATATGAGCTATAATCTAAACTCCTTAAAGGAGGTCATACAGGGCATTGTTCTTAGGGGACTACTATAGGGGTTAAGAACGGGGATACTAGGAGTGTAGACTATAGCTCATATTGGGATATTAGGGATATTTATAGCTTTTAGGGTTTAGGGATATAAGAACTCGACCGTTTTTGTTAATGCAGGGACTGGAAAGGGACATTGCTACATGATTTAGGGTTTAGGGCGTAGGGACTGAAGAGTCTTTGAACAGTGGCAAACTAAATGGACCAAGAACTGCAAAATTGAACGGAAGCTGGGGTTACATATCGGGTTCAACAGTGCCGTAATGTATTGGCCGAAGTAATTCGAAGAGGGTTTTTGGATAGAATGGTAAGCTATACCTCAAGGACTACCTAGACCCCCAAAGTATGTAAAATAATGGCCCTAAATCCATAATAGTAGCCATAAAGGCCATTCTTTTACATACTTTTGGGGTCCAGGTATAGACTATAGGGGATTGCTGTTCGTGAGCTTTATTGGCTTCTGCAGTGCCTCCCCAGGGTCATGTGAGCTAAAAAAATGTTGTGGGGCTTCCAGTCTGGACCATATGTGGGGCGCTTACTGGCTACAGCCCGCATATACCAAGACTCCACGGTGATGAATGCGATGTCCTATCCAAGAAGGTTCTTACTCTTTCAGTAACCTTGTTTTCGGTAACCTATTCAGGGTAATGCATATATGTAGGTGGTTGTCAAAAATATGGTCCCTTTTTGGGCCCCTATTATAGTACGGCACCTAATATTTAGGGTACCCAAGAAGGGACCATAATTTTGACAACCGCCAATGTATAGCATAAATACATGCGCGTGCACCTGCACATAGCTCCCAACTCCAGGGCTCGCCTTTTTACCAAAATCACATTCTCTTGCAACTTGTGTTTAGGGTTTAGGGTTTTGGGGAATGACCTTGACAACAGACCCTTCTAGCTCCTCCTGTCTAGGCAAACGGAATCAGCGCCCTGACCAAAACACATCTCGGCCAGAGAGTTGCACAGGTTAAAAGCTAACGCCCCTTGTTGTTGTTGTTGTTGTTGTTGTATTATAATAGCCCGTCTTGTGTGAAATGCCTTAGTCCCATCCCTTCTAATTACAGTCCCCGCATGTACTTCCGGATGAGCCCTAGCAAAGGTACTGGCAGGAATCGATTTTATTTGTAACGCAAGACAAACCTGTCCAACCAGTTGTCCTGTAATCAAACAGCCGTGAGCCAAAAGCCCCCAAACCCGAAGCCTTAGACCTGAAACCTTAAGCCTTCAACAGAAGAGACCAGAAACCCAAGCGCCTTGCAAGCTGCACCTTTTAACCCTATACCTGACGACCTGAGCCCTAAACTTTTGGTGGGCGTTTCTCAAAGGTCACCCGTATGGAATTCCCCTACGCAGCTCTTGGTCATTCTGTGTGAGAACCTCCCTAAACCTTCGACTCGCGACCCTGACCCTAAACCTTCAATACAAAACCCCCAAACCCAGAGCCAAAACTTTGCACCCTAAAGCCAAAGTTTCAACTACAAAGCCCTGAGCCCGCAAGCCGAACTCTTCAACTACAATCCCTAAACCCTGAAGCCAAAACCTTCAACTAAAAGCCCTAAACCCTTAAGCCTTAAGCCTAACCCTTCAACTGAAAACCCCAAACTTTAAACCCAAAACCCAAAACCAGGCGTGGGACCGCATTGAGACGTTTTGCCGCCGCCACAGCCTCAAGGCACTTGACACCTCTTGTCAGTCCCTCCATTTGGGTAGAATTTTGTTAGGAGATACTCTAGACCTTTACATGGACTAAGATCATATCCTCCTTTTGTGTATACGCAGTATTTTTTCATACAGTATTTCTTACTTGAGTCAACCGCTGAAAACAAACTACTCACTTGGGTAGTAGGTAACGGCAGGTATGTAGGGCTGCGGGATCGATGTAAGAGATTTTGTAGGGGTTACACGAGAGAGTGGGATTCGGGGTCCCTTCTGCCAATTGGGCTTTCCGAATGAAGTTTTTTGTGTGCCCATGCAGGTATGGTAGCGTCGCTCTCTGAGCTCAGAGGAGCCGTGTGGCAATTCCAAAATAAAAAGGGACCGCAGCGTTGGTGCTTCTGACACAAGTAGGTATTCTGGAGGCTTCTCAGAAACGGGGCCTGCGTAGGACTTTTGGGATAGAACGTAGGGGCAAATACGGATTCAGAAAGGATTCTGAGGGCCATGCCCAGAGGCTGCGTTGCCTAGACAACCCTACACAAGAACCCTAAACCCAGCACGTCCCGGAGGCATCTTGATGAAACGTCGATGCAGAATTCAGCAACTTGGCAGCGTTAGGCTTTTGGGATTAGAAATCAGGTTTTTCGAGGCCTCCGCCCAAATCCCTGGTTTGGTATTATGGTTGGAAGGATAGACGTTCAGCGGTTTGAAGCAGAGAGGTTTCCAGCTGCCGCCATCACCACCAGTACCACTACTTGGCCCATATCCACAAAGCACGACTATGACGACGACTAGCAACTCCATGGCCAATGGTTTCCATTCTTGCTGATTACCTCTGCTCCTACCAAGCAAGGTCATATCAGGTCATCATGCTCTACCATACCGGTATTTCGATTGCTGCTGCTGCTACGACTACTCTCACACTATTCCTAGCCTTAACATCGCAATGAAGAGTCGCCCCTAAGAAGAATTTGCTACTTTGGACTACAAAGGGGCTAAGGGGTGTCTGTAATACTAAGTACTCCAACAAGAAGAAGTTGTTGTTGTTGTTGTTGGTGGTGTTGTTGTTGTTGTTGTTGTTGTTGTTGTTGTTGTTGTTGTTGTTGTTGGTGTTGTTGGTGTTGTTGGTTGTTGTTGGTGTTGTTGGTGTTCTTATGATTAATGTTGTTTCATTGTCATT